AAGAACGAGATGCCGGACGACTCGTTGCACTCAATTATACCTCATTTGCTATCATTGGCCGCAAATAACCAGTCGTTTGTCAATAAGGAGTGCATCGCAAACATAATGGCCTCGTGTTGTCAGGTATGGCCAACACTGCCGTTGCTTTTGTTTTGTGCTCTAATTTAATGATTATCTTGTCTTCAGACACAACAACAACAAAATATTTTAAGTAATTACGGGTCGATAGGAATAATCGGCAATTTATTGGTGAATAATGTGTTGAAAGTACAAATGGCGGCACTCAACTGGTTATCACAAATATGTTACCAAAACGAAACGGTTTCCGCGTTTGCTGTCAACGAGTACTGCGAGGGAAGAGCTCTTCCCGACCTCTTAGTCTTAATGATGAGCCAACAGATGACTATCGATATGCAACTAATCGCCGCCAAATGCATGACTTATATATACCGTTCCGGTGCTCTGAATAGCGACGATAAGCGAATCGTTTACAAGACATTACCGACTTTGGTCCGCATGTGTAAGAAAGATAAGGAGCCGTCGGTTCGGGCGACCGGTGCTGACATTCTCGCCTATTTGACTGAAATCGACACTATTCTACAGCAAACGGCCAGTATTTGCGATCATCTGATCCCAACGCTGGCCGAACTCCTGAAGTATCAATCGAATTGCATATCACTCTTGGGTTACTCTGACCTCAATAATCAACCGATAACTGCGGCCACAGTGAAGAAGTTGGAACAGGAAGTGATCACAACGCAAGAGATAAAACAGGCGGCGTTCAAAGCATTCGCTTCTTTGGGCGCCAACGATGAAGACATAAGAAAAAAGATTATTGAAACCGATTATATAATGGATCACATTGTGAGCGGTCTCTCGGATCCCAACATAAAGACCCGATTGTCTGCTCTCCGATGTCTCCATAGTTTGTCGCGTTCTATACAACAATTGCGGACAACATTTCAAGACCACGCCGTTTGGATTCCCCTAAGAAATCTCTTACACAACGCGTCCGATGAGANAGGTGAGCAGCTGTTGCAGGAGCTTCAGTACGCCCATCTCCTTAAGCCTGTCCTGTCTATTGTTGGCGCCGTCCTCTTCAGACCAGATGAGGTTCGATATGCAGAAAGTGGCCGCTATTTGGAGCTTCACATTGGAGTGCATCATATATGACGTCAACTTCTTGAGCACGTCTTCGTTGGACATAATGAACTCTTTGGCTGAGTCTCCGTCGGCAATGTTGGCCAGAATACAGAGCGCCTGTTCTTTCACTTCGGACGTGTGGTCGCCTTCGAGGATCAGAATGACGGCTTGCATCACCTGTTTTCCATGCAAACTCATTATGTGGTCGATATGCTGTCCAATACAAAGAGACCAAACCATTAGTTCATTCATTCATTTCATATGCATATGCGATGACAAACCGGTTTATTTGAGAGCAAATTCCGCAAAAGACCCAAAGTCTTCATCAATGTGTTGACGTCCGGATCGGACAGAAGTCGAAATATTTGATCGGTTCCTAAAGAGTTGAGAATTTGTGACTTAACATTCTGGTCGGCCTGAAAGGCCATATTCATGAGCGCCCAAACGCCGTTCAGACGCAGCGCTGCCTCTTCTCTGCGCGTCAGTTCGCACAACAGATCTACGGCTCCGCGATCTAAGAAGTGCTGCAAACATGCAATCAAACAACGTTTCAATTAAGACCACACATACAGAACATCCAAATAAATAGGTTTCATTACTTGTTTACTCGGAGAAAATTCAAGCAAAAGGTTGCATAAAGTACTGGAGGCGACACTCAATATCTCATCGGACGCGTTGTGTAAGAGATTTCTTAGGGGAATCCAAACGGCGTGGTCTTGAAATGTTGTCCGCAATTGTTGTATAGAACGCGACAAACTATGGAGACATCGGAGAGCAGACAATCGGGTCTTTATGTTGGGATCCGAGAGACCGCTCACAATGTGATCCATTATATAATCGGTTTCAATAATCTTTTTTCTTATGTCTTCATCGTTGGCGCCCAAAGAAGCGAATGCTTTGAACGCCGCCTGTTTTATCTCTTGCGTTGTGATCACTTCCTGTTCCAACTTCTTCACTGTGGCCGCAGTTATCGGTTGATTATTGAGGTCAGAGTAACCCAAGAGTGATATGCAATTCGATTGATACTTCAGGAGTTCGGCCAGCGTTGGGATCAGATGATCGCAAATACTGGCCGTTTGCTGTAGAATAGTGTCGATTTCAGTCAAATAGGCGAGAATGTCAGCACCGGTCGCCCGAACCGACGGCTCCTTATCTTTCTTACACATGCGGACCAAAGTCGGTAATGTCTTGTAAACGATGCGCTTATCGTCGCTGTTCAGAGCACCGGAACGGTATATATAAGTCATGCATTTGGCGGCGATTAGTTGCATATCAATAGTCATCTGTTGGCTCATCATTAAGACTAAGAGGTCGGGAAGAGCTCTTCCCTCGCAGTACTCGTTGACAGCAAACGCGGAAACCGTTTCGTTTTGGTAACAGATTTGTGATAACCAGTTGAGTGCCGCCATTTGTACTTTCAACACGTTATTCACCAATAAATTGCCGATTATTCCTATCGATCCGTAATTACTTAAAATATTTTGTTGTTGTTGTGTCTAAAGACGAGATAATCATTAAATGAGAGCACAAAACAAAAACAACGGCAGTGTTGGCTATACCTGACAACACGAGGCCATTATGTTTGCGATGCACTCCTTATTGACAAACGACTGGTTATTTGCGGCCAATGATAGCAAATGAGGTATAATTGAGTGCAACGAGTCGTCCGGCATCTCGTTCTTNGGCCATACCTGACAACACGAGGCCATTATGTTTGCGATGCACTCCTTATTGACAAACGACTGGTTATTTGCGGCCAATGATAGCAAATGAGGTATAATTGAGTGCAACGAGTCGTCCGGCATCTCGTTCTTCTCAAAGATCAGATTAATGGGCGCTTCCGATGACTTGAATAGAGTCCTCAGCGCCCGAAGACACGACTCGACGAACGCGTTGTCATTGGATTTGGTGTTCTCCAGAAGTGTCACAACGATTCCGCTTTCGATCAACACTTTCATGTGATCGTCAGTCCCTTTGGCCAAACTCGAGATCGTGAGGACCGCCTCTTTGGCCAACAGATGGTTCGAGTGGTTATACGATTGGATCAGTTGTATAAGCCGTGGCACGACTGCCGACTCAATCACCGCTCCTTTTAGACGATTACTGCCGACCACTAAGTTCTTGATGTATCTGTCAATTAG